TTTGGGGGCCGAGTTTAACCTCTCATGACTGGATGAAGTGCCCATTATAATGCCAGTGCACACACACTGCTTACAGTGACCTTGATCTGGTGCAGCGTGGACAGCTCACTGGGGATGAACTCATTCATATGTGTATTGGGTTTGAGGCAGAAATCAAAGCTGCAATGAGGATGCAATTTCCTTTCTCATTCTAATGCCAGGTGGAAAAACGCATTTCTGATGAAAATGTGTTGCATTCTTTTTTTCTGGCCGTTTTCACTAACGCACAAAGGGTTTGGAATTATTATTCATTTGGGATTTTTTTTCCCCCCCTTGATCCTTGCAGACCGGCAGCCTTAACATGTCTGAGGTGGAGGTCCTGTATCTGCCGAACGTCACTATGGAAGATGCCGGGGAATACACCTGCCTGGCTGGGAACTCCATCGGCTTCTCCTTCCAGTCTGCCTGGCTCACCGTCCTGCCAGGTAAGCTCCTTCACATCCCACCTGGCGAGGAAGGAGAAGAGGGTTGGCATCCCGCAGCGCTTCCCAAGCTCAGATTCCCTTCCGATATCCAGTGACAAAGGAAAAGAGAAGGAGGAGCCTGAGACTTATTATTTATTATTTATTTATTATTATTTTGCATGCTTGTTCATCGAATGCCTCCTTAAGCCGCAGAAGAATCAACATGAAAATGTTGGTTTGTGATGAGAACAGGCCCATTCCAACAGCTCAGTTTCCATTCAGGTTGAATTGAGAGTTGACTCCGGCCTGCAGCTAATTCACCAGGAGGTAGCCCAGCTGCAACAGGCAGACCAAACAGTAGTAAGTGGTTAGACCTTGTGGAAGGCTTCAGCTGAATATGGTTCAAGTGGTTGTTTCTTTTTGCAGAGGAAGAGATCCTGGAGGAAGTGGATTTACTGGAGACCAAGTACACGGACATCATAGTCTACGCCTCGGGCTCCCTGGCTCTGGTGATGGCCGTCGTGATCGTGGTGCTGTGCCGCATGCAGTCCAGCTCCGGGGTGGAGCCCTTCGACGTCCTGCCCGTGCAGAAACTGTCCAAGTTCCCCCTGCGCAGACAGGTAAGGAGTTACGCCCTGCCGTAGAAGCGTACGTGCAGGACCACAGTATACGGAGGTCAGGAAATAAGGTGGCTCCCAACTGGTATTGCTCTCTGCCCAGGGAAATATGATCAGCTGTGTGCTGTAGGCATGTACCCAACGTCCTTCACATGTGGACACTACCTGCGTCTCGCAGCCAGGGAGTCACCCATGAGCAAGGCAGGCTTGGAGCTGAGGAGTGGACACTAATCCCTTTGCTCTTCAGCCAGAAAGTCCTAAAACACTTCCGGTCCGAGGCTGTTGCTGTTCTCTCTTGAGCCTTCGCTAGAGGTAGCGCGGTTAATAGCAGTCTTAACGGGCCGAAGAAAAGGAATTTTGAAAACCTGCATGCTGGGAATTCTGTGGGGTCTGGCCACACACTAACCCCAATGCCGTGTGTGTGTTTCCGTCCAGTATTCCGTGGAGTCCAACTCGTCGGGCAAATCCAGCGCCTCTCTGATGCGGGTGGCTCGACTCTCCTCTAGCTGCACTCCAATGCTGGCTGGAGTCATGGAGTTTGAACTGCCCCTCGACCCCCACTGGGAGTTCCCGCGGGAGAAGTGAGTCTGCTTGTTTTTGGTTGTTTTCAGCTCAGTAATGCCCTCCTCGCCTCCTAGTTTCCCGTGACTCTGAATCCACGGGTCCCTAACGCTGCTTTCCCCGTCTCCCATTCTCTTTCTTGCTAGTCTGACCCTGGGAAAGCCGCTGGGGGAGGGCTGCTTTGGGCAGGTGGTGAGAGCTGAGGCTTATGGGATAAGCAAGGAGAGCCCGGACCAGGTCGCCACGGTAGCAGTCAAGATGCTCAAGGGTACGGTTCGCATGTCAATTCAATTCAATTTATTTTTATATAGAGCCTTTCACAACGAGGTTCACAACAAGTTTGCCCCCAAGGCGCAGGTGTCACATTCTGTGTCTTGTAAGAATTGTACTTAAAATTTAGTGCAGTATTTGCAAAATAAGCAAAACATGGTAATTCCACGCTGGATTATCCAAAGGGAAATATACAGGCTGGGGTGCAACACCTCAGTGCCTGGTGTGAATCCCACTCTGGTCCTCAACTGTCCAGAATCCAGCAAGCTTTCCATGTCTCCTTAAGGTATAAACAGTTTTATCTCTTGTCCACAACCTGTGGATGTGGAAGCTGTGGATGATTTAAAGCAATGTAGAAAACCGGCTCAAATTCGGACCCCAAGCAATGGAGCTGGGGAGCTCAGGATGATAAGGGGGCTAGAGGTCAGTTCATTTCTGTTGTTGTTAAGCAGATGATGCCACGGACAAAGACCTGGCCGACCTGATCTCGGAAATGGAGATGATGAAAATGATGGACAAGCACAAGAACATCATCAATCTGCTGGGGGTCTGTACGCAGGATGGTGAGTTTGCTTGGTCCCTTTGCCTTGGTTTCAGCTGCTCCAGGTCCTTAACCCAGTCCCTGATCCCTGGGGACCACTTTGCAGTCCAGTGTTAGTCCTGGCTGAGCTTTTTATTACTTAGAACAATCAAACTTTCTTGACCAAACTGTTTACGGTGAGTACATGGAGTGGTGAAGTGACAAAAACATTTAGAAAACAGATCTTTATTCATTCTCTTCTCAGCATCCATAAATAGCAGTAATTAAATAGGTCTTCCACACTAGAGGTGACTGATTAATGATGTTCGGACACATAGGTAGTGCTACTGTACCGGAAACTCCCAGTCACTGGAGCTCCAGATTGTTAAAGAGGAGAGTCCAAAAGCAAAGACATTGGTGCAGGGTTGATGTTAATTCCTACCCCTCTCCTCTCCTTTTTGAAGACGTTTTTCTAAAAAAGCAATCAAAGTGGATGTGTGTGATTCAGTGAGAGCAGAAGAAGGGCTACACACCGGCTGCACAAATTCAGCTTGTTTGGTAGTTAGCGGCTTGTGGATCCAGGAATCTCATCCAGGCGTTCTCAGCTCCCAACAGCATAGCTGGGCAGCTTGGCCCCCGCTGGCCTCTGGACAGCACCCCTTTTAACAACAGCTTTTAAACACACCTGTGTGGTTTTCACTCATGTCTTCTGCTTCGTGCTTCACTGTTCATTCTGAAGTCTGCTGGGTGTGCCCAGTTGATTTTAAATCTTTGCTCCCCTCAAGTCTTTGTTCAAGACCAAGACACTTCCTTCCAGTCTGTCAGTGGAGGACATGCCCTTTGCCCCTGGAATGTATCTGCTGGCTCTTCTCTGCGCTGATTCCAGAGCAGAATATTCTAAAACGAGCAGAAGTGATGTAAAAGGAATGAAAGCTAGCAAACACAGTGGTCCTCTAGGGCTAGGGCTGGGGCTGAGAGCCGCTTCTCTGTCCTGTGACCCCTGACCCCTGTCCAGTGCAGTTACGTCGGCCTCTCCCCCCGCAGGCCCGCTGTACGTTCTGGTGGAATACGCCTCGAAGGGCAGCCTGCGTGAGTACCTGCGAGCACGGCGGCCCCCCGGCATGGACTACACCTTCGACGTCACCAAGGTGCCCGAGGAGCAGCTCACCTTCAAAGACCTGCTGTCCTGTGCCTACCAGGTGGCACGCGGGATGGATTACCTGGCCTCCCAACACGTGAGTCCACGGCCGTGTTCCTGTGGGCAGCCCTGGAGCGTATCCCACGCCGCACCACACCAGCTGTCCCCAGCAGCTCGGCTTTGTGACATCACAGAGGGCCTGACACAGACGCTCATCGGCACACGAGAACAGAGCGAAGGACTGGGGGCCATTTGGCCCGTCTAGGCCTTCATTTATGTGGGCTGACGCCATGGCCAACAGTGGGGCAACAGTCCTACACATGTCAGCACTCGTGATGCTAGGAGGATGATCCCTGTGTGGCGAGAGGTTTTGTCTGTGTCAGCATGGCCATTAATAGGTGTGGAGCTGAGGCAGGAGGGAGGCCTTCTCTGTGGTTCTCTGCAGCCCACTATGGGCTGAGCTGCCTGAAATGCTTCAGTGCCACAAACCAGTTTAAGTATGAAGTATAAATGAGCTATTATACAGAAGGGGCACCAAAATACACTATATAAAAATCATGCAATCTAACAATTAATCTTCTGTTTTTCTTTCGATTGCCAACCTATATAAAGCCGTCTTGCTAAATATTGCTCAATTTACATACTGCATGTTGACTTAAGTCATATTTCGAACCAGCTTAGTCAACAAAGAGTAATTGTATCATTTGCTACTGTAGCCGTGTTCTTTCACAATGACCCAGGCAAAAGCGATTTCATTTTTTTCCCTTTTAAATGTTCATAAAGCCTTTCTTTTGTGTGCACCTCAGCCAGCGAGCCATGTATTGGTTCTTGTATTTTAAATGTATCCAGTTACTTGTCTACATGTTTGGTCTTGCAAGCCCACGTGCAAAGGAACTGTGCACCCGTTCCTTAGCCTGCAAGGATAAGCTCACAATATTTCATCACACTGGATTGATCAAGGAGTCCCAGCGCATTCTAAAATCCAGCATGCCCAAAAGCGTTGTTAACCCGGAACGTCTCTTAACATGGGAAGGAGCAGGGGAGGCTGGTGTTAATCGCTCTTCCTGTGTCTCTGCAGTGCATCCACAGGGACCTGGCCGCCAGGAACGTTCTGGTGACGGAGGACAAAGTCATGAAGATCGCAGACTTTGGCCTGGCGAGGGGCGTGCACCAGATCGACTACTACAAGAAGACCACAAACGTAAGCCCCCCCCCCCCCAGACAAGCTGTGTTTTCTGGGGTGTAAACATTGTGACAGATCAAGTGCGGCGCTGTCGGTTCGTAGCTTTAATGGTTTTAAAGACAGACGCTTGATGTGTCTGCCGGTGACTGACGGCGCGCTTGATGGGAGATAATTGGGGGGCGGGATCTGAGGGACCTGTCGTCTTCCATAACGCTGTGTCCGCTCACCCAGCTGTCTCTGCGTTTCAGGGGCGGCTGCCGGTGAAATGGATGGCACCAGAGGCCCTGTTTGACCGAGTCTACACACACCAGAGCGACGTGTGAGTACAACCAATCGCATCGGAAAATGTGCCAGACTGTCCGCGGACCAGACCAGGCTCTGAGCGCCTCTTCCACCCACACTCCCAGGGCTCCGTTGTGGAAACCAGGCCTAGTCTGGTCGGGGCAAAGGGGAGAACTCAGGTGACCTCATTTGAGGCAGAATGTGTTGCAGTATGAATGGGAGAGAGGCGTGAAATTTAGGCATGCAAAAGAGCCCTCATAAATGAAAGTGAACACCGCCCCCAAAAATAGTTAAATTGTCCGATTATCCTCCAGGAAACTTCTGTGCTTGAGGTGCAAATATCCACCTTTTATGTGAGCATCTGCATAAGGCCCCACGTGTCTCGGGTTTTCTCAGTTTTGTGCTTGCTGCTGTGATTTACGGCTCCCATCCCTGCACAAGGGTAGCTCACTGCAACATTGCAACACTCCAGTGTTTAGAGCAGGCCGTCTCGCCTGGCTCAGGGCTCAGTGGGCGAGTGGGCGGTCCTCATTTCCACTCTCGCGCCGCCTGCAGGTGGTCGTTCGGGGTGCTGATGTGGGAGATCTTCACTCTCGGCGGGTCGCCTTACCCAGGAATCCCCGTGGAGGAGCTGTTTAAGCTGCTGAAAGAGGGTCACCGAATGGATAAGCCGTCCAACTGCACCCACGAACTGTGAGTACGAGAGCACATGTCCGGAGAGAAAAGGCATGAAGCTCACTGCAACAGGGCGCCTTGTCAAAGGACAAACACCATGAGTCACAGTGACTGGAGACTAAAGAAACCAGAAAAGGTTCTGAACCAGCTGGTTTGCTTTTCTTTTATCTTTATAGACACACACACACACACACGCGCACCCCAACATTCTCCAGGTTTACTACGCCCTGAAACAGAGCAGACAGATTCCTATTGTTGCAGAACCAATGAGACACATTCCAACCTGCCAGTAACGGATTTTTCCAATAGCTGTCTAAAATTGTGTGGAATTTCCTTATTGGGGGAAAAAAACAAAAATTGCAACACCAGGGTGGCGGGTACAATTTGCAGCCTGCGGCCTCCCGTGTTTTTGCCGCTGGTTTCCTGTCGGCGTGTGCAGGTGGTGACGTCCGTTCTGGTTCCAGGTACATGCTGATGAGGGAGTGCTGGCACGCGGTGCCCACGCAGAGACCCACCTTCAAACAGCTGGTGCAGGACCTGGACCGCATTCTGCTCTCTGTCTCCGATGAGGTGAGCGTTTACCACACAGCCCATTAGTGGAAAGAGCCCATTGTGGGGCGGTCTATTCCTGTACTGGTTTTGCCCTAGCTGCACTGTGTGGCATTGTACACAAGAATAGAGCAGGCAAGCCTCAGCACTGTGGCCGGAGTTGCTGAGGCTGCGAAACCTGGTGTTATTTCCGCGATACTGTACTAAAACAGGATTCCTCTTTCATCTAGTACCTGGACCTGTCGACACCTTTTGAGCAATACTCTCCGTCGTGTGAAGATGCCTCTAGTACTTGTTCATCGGACAACGACTCCGTTTTTACCCACGATGCCTTGTCCACCGACCCCTGTCTCCTTGGTTACCATGATGTCCACTCCAGGATAAGGACCTGAAAGCTGTTTGTTTGTTTTTTTTTGCTCCAAATGAAATCTGCCATAGCCATTTGGGTATTCTGGGCATTGCGTGAGACGTTTTCTTGAAAAGCGAAACAGAAAGTGACTTCTGGGTTTGCAGGCTCGAAAGCCTTTCCCATCATCGACACAGAGATGCAGCTGTCGAAGTAGCCGCCTTTCATTTACAGGTACTTTTCATATTGAAAGGGCTTTGTTGGCCTGTCTGTTGACTCGCAGTGATGCCAAAGCAAAAACAATTAGCAAGTACACACACGAAGGATGTTTAACACGAAAACGTGATTATTTGAGAGGCTCGCTCTCCTCTGTGATAGAAGAGCATATCCTGGGCTGCTATTCCCAGTTCTGCCATTTACACCATTCCCACAAGCCCAGTAGGATTTGAAGGTGCTGTGATTCTGACTGGCGTGGGATTTCTGGGATTACGTGTTTTATTGTAGGGAAGAATCTAATCCCAGAGTATTTCCTGCGGTGCGTCTGAAAGTACACCTCTGGAGCGAGAGAGAGCATCTCCCTTCGAAACAACACAAACACACACACTTTAAGCCAATATTGCAGGCAACACCTGGAAAACCAGTCTTGAAAGATCAAGGCAGCAGTGTCACCAGAAATAGAATCATGTAGAAGATGAAAAAGAGAAAATCTATTTTGATATAATGAACAGAAGATGATAGCATTGTGAAATATAAATATAGAAATATATATAAGATTATTCTACAATCTGGTATTTAAAAAATCTTAAATCTCAGGATATTATTTTATGTCGCTATAGTGGCAACAAAGTGCCTGCATTTCTAACTCCATGTGAATATATTGAATATTAAAATATTTTTTATGTACATATAAAAAAAGAAAACCTTTTTCCACCTTTTTTATAAATTATTTTTTTGTTGATTACAATGAGAAATGAAGTGTTTTAAGGTTCAGAGATTCAAGTGTAATTTTGATTGTGGATTATAGATTTTTTTCTGTGCATTTAGAAAATGCAATGCATTTACCAGCAGATATTTCGGTGAACTTTTATTAAGAAACATTTTTAATGTAAGATGTATCAAAAGCAATAAAGAACTCAAGCTTTTCAGTGGTACTATATGCAATGCAAGAACAATAGGTGTAGTATCTTGGTGCGGTATTGTCTCAAACTTGCCTTTTAGAAATTCTCAGCTCCACACTGGACACCTTTCAGAGAAAGAAAGCTTGCTATTAGGTACTTTATGAGTTTTTGAATTGATCTAAAAACTCCTGCTTGATTCTGTTTTAAAAATGGAATCCTCCCTTTGTTTTCTGTAATCTTTTACCCTGTACAGTCAGTATTCTAGAGGCAAAGGCCACTGGGACAATGGGTTCTTTGGAACTTCAATGGGCGTGACAGCAAAGCCCAATGATTTAGGCTCTGCCTGCGCTTGTGTGCAAATGAACTGGCCTTATTATGGAAATGACCCCTGCTGCCTCTCATTATTCAGTCACATCTTTTAATATACAAATGCTAATGCTCTCCTTTTCAGAGCTGTTTAAATTTCTCCAGGGACTGTGGAGTTTCCCCTGCAGGAGATAAGAGTCCCGTGTGTTCCTACAAAAGGAGTATTTGAAATAATTTGCCCAGGTTGATCCATTACTGCCATTTTTATTCTTGGGGTATAAGCAGTTGCAATGTTGATGGGCAAAACCACATGAATTTTAATGTCCAAACCCAAGAGGTGCATGCAATGCAGTATAATGTCTGTCTGCTACACAGAATTTAAATTCTTCTGCACCTTATGCAAGAGCCCTGCCATTAGAATGAGCAGTCCTGATATAAAGGCATAATACAGCTCTTACAAAACAGCTGGCCAGGACACGTCTAGCTGGAAGCTTGGCCTTGGACAACAAGCAGAGCCTGATGCACATGGTAATGCAAACGGCTGTTATCATTCACCAAAGGGAAAGAATGGGAACCGAGTCCCTTTTAACAAGAAATGGATTTATATAATGGTGACATTACAGCATTGTGTGCAGCAACATTACAGTTCAGCCTCATGTTGTCATGTTGGAGTTACACAAACTCCATTGCAAAAGTGTAGTTATCTGAAGCCACTAAACAAAGGCAAAGGCTCCAATTAGCTATGAAATCGACTGAAACAGAATGCTGGGAAAAACAATTAAATATAATCAAGTTGATTAGTCCGGCGATTTGCTCGAAGTGGCTGTTTATTGAATGTGGCCTTCTACAACAGTTAAAGCTGTACTTTTCGGGATTCTGAATCTGGAATTGTGTCCTGTCAGCAGAAATGACCTGGTTGTATTGTATAAGACTGTGCACTCCCAACAGAAGTGTAACAAATCACCATGTTCTTATAACTTTGAGGCTTCTAAATAATCTTGTAAACATATCTAATTTATTTGTTTTTGTTTTGTTTTTTTGTATAAAATCTATAATTTAAAATCTCTGTGGCTGTCTTCTCTTTCTCATTCTCTGTTCTGAACTGAAATAATGAAATCCAATATCCTTTTCAGTACACTGGAGAGCAGTGAAGTGACAATTCAATTAATTCCTGTATCTTTAACAATATCAGAGGGTTGCGGACAAGGGGGGGCCTTTTGTGCCATTGGTTCAGTTGCTAGGTTGCTGCTAGTCCAAGGACTTTATCCAGCTTCACCTTGAAGGACCTTAGGCAAGTATGTTTATGACACATGCTGATTACTGAAAATGTTAAATACTGAACTGACAAGAAGGATAGAAAATCAAATCATTTTGATGATTTAATTACAGGAACTGGATGCTAAGCTGATGGATCCAGACTTTTGATACATCAGCCTTTAGAGTTTTGCTCAGGATTGGCTTCATTACTCTGCTCTCCTCCCCACTGATAGCTGATGTGTGGTGAGCATTCTGGCACACTACAGCACATTGGTGGTGGGGTCCCTACGCTTTGAGTGGAGTGTCCAGAAAAGCACTATACAGTTTCTTACATTAACTTGCTCTTCATGAGGGTCAGAGTGTAGGGTCAGCCACTGTACAGCACCCCTGGAGCAGTTGGGGTTAAGGCCTTGCTCAGGGGCCCATTGGAGTAGGATTCCTCTGCCAGCTGTGGGATTTGAACCAGCAACCTTCCAGCCACAGGCACAGATCCTTAGCCACAGAGCCACCGCTCCACCCTGAATTCATGTCTGTTTTAGGTGGTTCACGTTTCTTAAATTGGTTTTAATTCGCTGTCACCCCTCCCTGTTCCAGTGCAGGTCACTTGCTCATTAGCCGGATTTTAAAAGCTTGGTGAAATCCAAATCTGCTTTATTTTGAAATGGCACGCTATCATATCATTGAAATGAAACAGCCATTTGAAATCCTGGCTGCTGCAGAGCAGAGCCCAGTGTCCTGGAACGCAATCAGAACCGATCAGAAGCGGCAGTCTGATCTCGTCAGGCCTCCCCTCTCACTCCTCTGGGCCACTTTGATCTGGCACAGACAGGGGAGCCAAAGGGCTCTGATTAGTTATCAGTGGGTTTTTCTGCCGTCTCCTGGAGCTCTTGCCTACAAAGCAATGATTGCAAAGACTGCCACATTGCTGTCCCACATACATCTGTGCAAACAGAAGCCTTATCTTTAATCTGGGGGTGTTAAAATTTCCTAGTTAGAAGCACATAGAAGCAATCAGTGCCAGCCCATTCACTGGCTCACGATCTGACCACAACATTTGATAGCTGACTCTTTACTTGGCAACTGTGTCCAGCAGAGAGGATGAGATAAGGAGAGACCTCCTGACCAGGACATTTGTGACTTCACACACACCCATCTGTTTTAAACAGAGTTGTGATAATGCGAATGTGACCCAACACCAAGCACAGAACAGAGCAGCCACATTCGAGGAGCAGCTGGTACACGATAGCTTATCTTAAGAGGAAACCAGCAGGGCCTGGGACTGATAATGTTACATCAGGTCTTCTCTCAATTTTGCAGATACTGAAAAGTTAATTCATCTGTTCATCTGTTGTTTCGCTTCAATCTGTTAAAGAGTATGAAGTAGGGCAGAAAGATTAAATTGTTTTTCATTTCATTTTGCCTGGCCTATTAACACTCTCCTGTGTGGTCTGCCTTCAAGCTCGTTAATTAAATTACAACTTCTCCAGAATAGTGCTGCCAGGATTCTCACCAGAGCAAGGAAGCCAGGCCATATTACCCCTATTCTAGCACAGCTGCAGTGGCTCCCCATCCACCAGAGAGTGTATTTCAAAGTACTGTTCCTGGTCTTCGAGGCTCTAAAAGGCAAAGGTCCCACCTGTCCATCTTCTTTTTCAAACATCACCCTGGTCTTAAAGGCAATATTCTTACTCCGGGCTGCAGAGTTAAACAGTTCTGTGTTTAAAGTGTAAAGCGACAAGTCAGCAGCTCACTTGATAGGAGACTCTCAATCATCAGGACGCTGTGTGTTTTTGCACAGTGCAAGCTCCACAGTGCTGGACGGGTGAGTTAGCTCTGAGTGGTGAGTCCTCCGCACCGAGGGCCATGCAAACCCACAGGAGCTTGGAAAACCTCAGAGTCACCTTGGAGCCTCACGCTAAATCTGTACTGTCCAGAGCCAGGACCCTTCAGCCAAATGCGTTTCACCACCTGGGGAATTCTGGTTACACTTCGCCAATCATGCCAGCCGGGACTGGACAGGCAATGTCCAAGAGTCTTTACTGCTTGGGCACAATGGACTCCACAGACTAACGCTGAGAAATGTGTAGTGAGGGTAATGGTTCTCTGAAGGCCAACTCAGCCTTTCAACAAACTCTCAGATTTTCATCAGTAATATGAACTTCGATTGCCATTTGAAGTCATTTAGATGCGGTACTGCCCTCTACCATCCTAAAGCTGCTTTCTCATAGCGTACTTATGTGATGTCTTTCTTTATATGTGAACCCAAGAGCCCATTTCATGTAATGCCTCTGTTCAGGACAGTCCTCTTTCTTGGAGCACTCTTGTCAGTTTTTGGGATGTTTAATCACGTTGGGAGGTTTGGAGGCCATTCATTTCTTGTTTTTGCTCTGACTAATTACATTGAAGAGAGAGTCTGGTCAGGGTGATGTGAGACTTGGAGCAGACTGTGTTAACACAGCGAACAAGGTCACAGTAAACATTCTGCTCCAATCACTAACTAATGTAGTTGTAGATCATCCAGGTTATGAATCTGCAACATCTTTCAGAAAACAAAATGTAAAATTCTAAACAAAATTGGGAGGACTCATCTCCTGGACACTTGAGCCCTGGAAGAAGTACTTGCAGACAGTACAGCTATAACCAGCTGCTAGATGTAATTATTTTCTTTTAAAAGCAAATTGCACATGTGTTTAGTGAGTACAAATTGTAGAGTACGGGGGTAACTTCAGAAAATGGATTCCAAAAGAATTAATCCGAATGGCAAACCAGCACATTGGCTACAGATTTCACCAGATGTGTGCTCCTCAGCAGAAAAGCTCACTGGACACGAGGGACACATACCTCTCCAGCTGCAGACTCGCAGCTCAGTGGACAGGACTGAGATTTTCCTGCCATCCTAAGGTTTCTGGATGCAAAGCACACCAAGCAGGGTAGAAAGATTAAATTGCTTTTCATTTCATGTGAGAGGTTTGTTCACACCTGAGCTGAGTAAGGAGGTTGATTTCTGTGACAAAGATTTCCATCAGCCCAGGTGTGAAGTGAGGGGGTGGGAATGATGTGGATCTCATCTACTTGGCGTTAGCTTGTCAAATAACTCGCTGTCAACTAATTCTAAGATTTTATCTGATAAGATACTTATCTGATTTCTCTCAGATAAGTAGATAGTTTTTACACTTCTGGCCCAAGAATCCCAGCAGGAAACAAATACTCAGAATTACACCAGACCTGTAATTCCTGTCAGGCAAAGGGAATCCATAGAGATTAGTGTTGTTCTGTATGAGGGTAAAAGTATGATGAAAGTTTGGGAAAATATGATCTAGCCCCACTGATAAAACTAGCTTTTCTTTCCCTAACAGAAAACATGCATGGAAACAAGAATGACAAGAGACAGAGAGAGATGTGATCGGTTTTAATTTAATTTTGACTTTCTTGAAGATATCAAGGCAGATTGCATTGCATTGCAGATTGATAATTGCTTTCATTCTGTCAAGAGGCATTCTGCCCATTTCTCAACATGGAACAATGGTTTGATTTTTACTTCAGCTATAGTCTGTGCAAGCTCAGTGGCAAGCAAGGGGTACTGCACTGTTTAAATCAGATCACATGCTTTTCTGAATGATCTCCAAGAAATAACACAGGACATACAATACAAAGCACTGTCACCTCTAAGAGCTCCAGACATTAATCAGAAACCAGATAGCTAACAGCTCAGAGCAAGCTTGTTTTAGAGGGGGCGGGGGACTATCACTGTATTAATTACTCAGAATCACAGGGAACAGGAAACTCTGCTGTGTACTTTAGAATTTATCATTATTAGCTAATATTTTACTATATAGGCTTTAAGCCTGCATGCAGGGAGTGCTGTGAGGCTTATCTGTATTCTCTCTCCCTCCTGATCCCAGCCTGTGCTTGGCTCTCTGTCAGGAATACAATTGAGCAGACATTTTCTAGGTGACACGATGAATTCAAGGTGCCCATCGACAGGCCATGTCGATGGACAGTTCCCTACCCTATCCCAGGGAGGCCACCTAGGTCATTTTTTCACAGCCAAGTTAGAACTGACCTTATAGGTCCTTACAGGTCCTGGTGCCGGTCCAGAAGAAAGCTATTTTCATTTAACCGGGGTCTACAGATAGGAAAGGTCTAGCCATATCTATGACTGACATGCTTCTGGACAGGAAGTGCTGGTCATGAAAACAGCAGAAAACAATGTGAGTTCTGTCCTCTTTGTGGGTTTCTGTGCTAAAAGCAGCACACAGGGAGGCATGAGGGGTTGGTTATGCTCTTGGAAGGTTTGGCCAGTTGTAGTCTTTCAGTTTTGTAGATCTGGAGCCACAGGTACAAGAGTGGGGCCTTGTAAAATCCTGTGGCCAGAAGGCTCACTGTAATCAATCTCTTCTGAGACAGTTTCATCCAAAGGGACTAATGGTAACAAGAGGGTGGCTACACATGAGTAGGGGGCATTCACTTCTGGGCCTTGGTTTCATACCTCAACAGAAAACAGAGCTCAGGAAAGCTATGTGCTTTGCTTACTCAGGAGTGAGACACACCGTGAGTCACCGACAGAGCAGGGGTCCAAACAGGCAATCTTCTTGGAACAACCACAGAGCCACCTCTGTCTCTGCATCAGCACTAACTGGAAATGTCTAAGGCAAAAGCAACACCCACACAGCAAGGCTAAGCTTATGGACAAGGAAAGGAGTATTTCACAAATACAGAGGTGCACATAATTATGGAAACCAATGAAAAAAGTGGGTACACGATGCTAATTTTGCATTATGTCTTAATAGCTAGAAATGTTACCTCATA